AGGCAGGATCTTCGGATCTTAACCTCCTGAGTAGCTAGGATTACAGGCATGAGCCACCAGTGCCCAGCTTAAACAATTTTTTTTTTTTTTTGGGGGGGGGAAGGGTCTGGTCATGGGGCCTGAACTCTGGGCCTGGGCGCTGTCCCTCAGCTCTTCAGCTCAAGGCTAGCGCTCTACCACTTGAGCCACAGCACCACTTCCAGCTTTTTGCTTATATGGTGCTGAGGAATCGAACCCAGGCCTCATGCATGCAAGACAAGCACTCTAGCACTGAGCCAACTTCCCAGCCCAGCTTAAACAGTTTTTATAACTAATATGTAGCAAATGGTAATTCCCCCCTAAGATGATCGTCATCCATGGTTCCAAACACATAGTTTCCCTGTACATGGTATATTATATCAGGCCCTATTCTAAGATAACTAATTTATTTTGCTCATGAGCATAAGAATCTAATAGAGACAATTGCCATTCCCAGATGAAGAAAGCCAGGGAATTCCTACCTATAATTATTTTTTCAAGTACTTAGTGGCTAGATTTAAAATGTCAGCTAAACTACACACATATAAATTCTAAATTTAAGAAAAATACAACCACCAATACTAATGAAAAGCTTTTCTATTAAATATGAAATCAGTTTTCCTCCATAATGATACATTTTCTTACTGGGAAAGGGAGTAGAAAGACATCATATACTTGTTCTTAAAGTGATGGTTGATAGCTCCCTAAATTCTTTTTTGAAGAGAGGCAAATGAAAACACGACAAACTTCCTCCCCCTACCTCAGTCTCCAGGTTATCTGTTATTTTTCATTCTTTGAAAATTTCACATCCTCCTGAAATTATGGCCTTAAAAAAACAACTCCAGGGGCTGGGAAGGTGGCTCAGTGGTAGAGCGCTTGCTTTGCATGCCTGAGGCCCTGGGTTCCATTCCTCAGCACCACATAAGCAAAAAGAAAAAAGCTGGAAGTGGCGCTGTGACTCAAGTAGTAGAGTGCTAGCCTTGAGCTGAAGAGCTGAGGGACAGCACCCAGGCCCAGAGTTCAGGCCCCACGACCGGACCCAAAAAAAAAAAAGAACAACTCCAACAGGGCAGCTACTTGGGAGACCAAGACCAGGAAGATTTGAAGGTTAATCCAGGTAGAAAAGTTAGTGAGATCTCCTTCTTACCTATTTCCAGATAAGGCAAGGTAGGAGGAAGTCCACACCAGCACTGGGCAAGAAAACAGCTCCTACAAGAAAATAACTATAGCAAAAAAGGGATGGGGCCATGAAGAGGAAGAGCAACCTGCCTAGGAAGTGTGAGGCCCTAAACAAACTCTGCTAGCTGGCCAGATGAATGCATCCCAGTGCTTGGAAGGCTGAAGCAGGAGGGGCTCTTGCTCCAGACCAGCTTAGGCTTCAAGCAAGACATCTTTCTTTTTTTTTTTTTTTTTCACTGAGCTGTCCCTCAGCTCTTCAGCTCAAGGCAAGAGTGCTCTACCACTTGAGCCATAGCACCACTTTGGCATTGTGAGTGGTTTATTGGAGATAGAGTCTCTCAGACTTTACTGCTGGGCTGGCTTTGAACCAGGATCTTCAGATGGTGAGTAGCTAGGATTACAGGCATGAGCCATCAGCACCTAGCTAAGACAAGTCTTTAAAACAACAACAACAACAAAAAGCTGGGCAGTAAAATCTGTGAGACTCTTATATCCAGTTAGCCTCCAGGGACAGACAGACAGACAGACAGACAGACAGACACACACACACACACACACACACACACACACACACACACACGCACGCATGGTGGCTCAGCCTGTAATCCTAGCTAATCAGGAGGCTGAGATCTGAGGATGGAGGTTCAAAGCCAGCCCGGGCAGGGAAGTCCTTGAAACTCTTATCTCCAATAAACCACCAGAAAACAGGAAGTGGCGCTGTAGCTCAAGTGGTAGAACGCTAGCCTTGAGCTGAAGAGCTGAGGGACAACACTCAGGCCTAGAATTCAAGTCCCACAACCAACATAAATAAATAAATACATAAATAAATCACACACACACACAAAATAAATCCAACAACTCTGCTGATGAATATTAACCACATAAACTGATGCCTCAGTTCCTGGGGTGGAGGGATGACTTTGTAGCAGGCTAGGAGAGAGCTCCTGGAAGCCACCCAAAATGCCCTAAGGTCAATTAATCCAAATCTGATCCACTCACGCATGCGCCAGGGCCCAACTCCTATCTCTACAAGGCCAACTCAGAGACTCTCTCTTCCTAAGCTCTGAAGGTGGACGCCGCATGATTTCAGCTTCCATATGTCATGGTGCTAATCATAACTCTCTTGGACTTATCTCCCCAACTAGGCTGTGGGTGTCTTTTGTCACCATCTGCTCCAAGAACCTGGTATATTACTGAACACACATAGCAAAGATTCAGTAAGTACTTGTTTCACTAGGTTTCCTTGCTCAATACATACACTGGCATTGGCTTTGGTAAGAATCGCCCTCATGTTTGAGTCACTCTTTGGTAACCAGGAAAACAGCTCTTCAACACAAACTTAGTTGCATTTGTCCACAAGTCTCATGGTGAAATAACCCAGAGGCCTACAGCAATGCAAGCCCTTTCTTTTGATCAGATGTAAAGAACCAGAATTGGATTACTGTTCTCTTCATTCTGAGGCAAAAACACAATGCCAAAGTGGTGCTATGGCTCAGGTGGTAGAGCACTCTTGCCTTGAGCTGAAGAGCTGAGGGACAGCTGAGTGGAAAAAAAAAAGAAAAAAGATGTCTTGCTTGAAGCCTAAGCTGGTCTGGAGCAAGAGCCCCTCCTGCTTCAGCCTTCCAAGCACTGGGATGCATTCATCTGGCCAGCTAGCAGAGTTTGTTTGTTCAGTACTGGGGTTTGAACTTAGGGCCTCACACTTCCTAGGCAGGTTGCTCTTCCTCTTCATGGCCCCATCCCTTTTTTGTTATAGTTATTTTCTTGTAGGAGCTCTGTTTTCTTGCCCAGTGCTGGTGTGGACTTCCTCCTACCTTGCCTTATCTGGAAATAGGTAAGAAGGAGATCTCACTAACTTTTCTACCTGGATTAACCTTCAAATCTTCCTGGTCTTGGTCTCCCAAGTAGCTGGGATTACAGGTATGAATCAGTGCCCTGTTGGAGTTGTTTTTTTAAGGCTATAATTTCAGGAGGTTTTTTTTTTGTTGTTGTTTTTTGGTCGATCGTGGGGCTTGAATCTGGGCTTGGGCGCTGACCCTGTGCTCTTTAGCTCAAGGCAAGTACTCTACTGCTTGAGCCACAGTGCTACTTCTAGTTTTTCTGGTGGTTTATTGGAGATAAGAGTCTTATAGACTTTCCTGCCCGGGCTGGCTTTGAACCGGGATCCTCAGATCTCAGCCTCCTGAGTAGTTAGGATTACAGGTGTGAGCCACTGGCACTCGGCTCCTCTTGAGGTTTTTACACATCCTCATTATGTCACTACTTTAAGCACAAATGCTTTAAGTCTTGGTGTCATTACAGTTACAAGTGTGGGTCAGAGATCCTGGCCACAAAATGTAATAAAAAGCTTGCTAAATCCAAACTGACTGGTCCTGGGGTCAGAGCAAGTCATAAAATGATCAAAAGATAAAGTGACAGATCAACTGTAACTAATTATAGCTAAGCATTTTCTCCCATTCATTCAAAACTGTGAAGGACTGAGTTAGTTGGTGGAGAGGTCAACAAAGGTAAAAGGTCTTTATGGAGAAGTTTAATGGACATAAGTTAGGGCATAATGAAGGAAAAAAACCAATCTGATAAGAGGTAAGGTAGATGGTTTCTCCTCCAAACTGAAGATTCTAGAAAGTAGGACTTGTCACACAGCACTAGGTAGCTTTTCCTTTATATCCAAGGCCACCCTTCCCAGAATTACTCAGAACTCCTCCTGAGGGAATTACCCCAGTACTCAGAACTATTTGCCTAGGAACCACTGATTTACTTGTTATCATTATCAAAGACATATCACGAAGCAAAGAGCTTACATAACTATATTCAACAAGGGCCATAAAAGATTACTGAGAAGTCGAGGTGTGGCTCACACATGTAATCTTAGCTATTCAGGAGAGTAAGACCTGAAGATCAGTTTCAAGCCAGTCCAAGAGACTCTTATCTACAATTAACCACACACACACACACACACACACACACACACCCAAAGTGGAGTTGTGGCTCACGTTAGTACCTAAGAACACATTGCTTTATCCAAGATTTTTCAACTGTATGCAGGTGTTTTTCAGTGCTTCCTAATTCCCAAAGCCCTGTTGCTCCTTTGTCCCGGTAAAGGAAGAAACTGGACCACATATATAATTTCCTAGTACAAACTCACAAGGGCTTTTTGGAGTATATTCAATTTTAACAGTGACTGCACGAAGTCCAGAAGTAATCGATGTCCATGTGAAATGAGGACAGCTGGGGTGCTCCAAGTGGGTGGCAAATTGGTGCTCACTGTTTACCTCCCCAAAGTTCACGCTCTCAGACCCCTTATTATTTAAAAGGGTCTCCAGGCACCAAAGGTCATGGCTTCCAAAACCTTCCGATACGGTCTTGCTCTCTGAGTTTCCTTTTCCAGTGTGTGGCAAGAATCTGTCATTCCCACACAGTTACCAGTGGTTTTCGATCCTGATCCAGAAAACGTCAAGGGAGTGGCTTTTCCACAGGACCCAATGCCCAGTTCCTGAATTGGCTGTGCCGAGGCTTTACCTTCGGATCAGGAAGCCTCTTCGCGGGGGGCGGGCTGGTCCGCAGAAAGCCAAAGGGAGGGAGCTTGTGGGGGGGGCCCGAAAAGGGGGTGTCCGCGCCCCCTTTCCCTGAGGGGAAGGGGAGAACGCGGGAGCCACAGCCCGGGGCTGCACGAACAGGCTCCTCCAGCCCGCAGCGGCCCCACCGCAAGTCCCGACACCCCGGATCCCCACCTCAGCGACGGTCGCCCCGAGCCCCGCCCGAGGCGCCCGGCCGCCTTCCACCACCCCCCAACCCCAACTCACAGCCCGTCTCCTTCTTGATCTCCTCCAGCTCTTCGTCCCGCAGTAACGTGGAGGCCCGAGACCCCATCGCCGCGCCGGGAAGCTCCCCGCGGAGCGCAGACGCCAGCAGCGACAGCGGCGGGAGGGAAGGAGGGAGGGAGGAAGGGCGGGAAAGAAGGGCCAGGGGTCACGGAGGGAGAGAGGGCAGCGTTTCCTACTGCGGACCCGGGAGGGAACCCAGGAAGGGGGCGGGGAGATAGACGAGCCAATCAGAAGCGAGGGCACGCCCCCCCCGCGCCGGAGCCGACGTCGACGCCGGGAGTTCCAGCGCCGGCGGGAGTCCAGCTGGACGCAGGCCCCGCCCTCCGGAACCGCGGCCGCCACCGGTCTTAAAGGGCCAACGCCGTGGCTGCTCAAGAGACCGCGCTTAAAAGGGCAACTCCGCCGACCCGCCGTTTTCCGATACGGTAAGCGGCGACAGGCAGACAACGAAACTAACTGGTTTTCCACAGGATTCCGATGCGAGCTGGCAGGTTGCGAGGAGACAAACAGAGAAAACTCCGCGTGGAGAAAATCCTGGGGCGTGTCCTCTTTAAGGAGCTGGGCGCCGGGCGGCGTGCTCCGCCACCCCTGCGCTCCCTGGGCCTGGCCGCACGGGGGCGCCGGGGAGTCGGCCGCGTGCCGATTGGCCGCTCGGGGAAGCAGCGCCTCGACGGAGGGGACGGTCCGCGCCTCGGACGCGACCCCGCGCTGGGGCGAGCGGCGGCGGCGGCGGCCCCGCGCTTCCCACCGCACTCCTTCGGGGCGGTGCTGCGGTAACCGCCGTCGAGAGTGTTGGAGCGCCCAGAAACCACTCCTTTCGACGGCGGTGGTTCCCGGGGTTCTCGCCCGAAGTTCGAGGGACTCAGTACCATTTGGCTGAAAGCAAGGTTCGGGTTTCCCGCATTTTCTTGGAGTTGGGGGAGATCGCCCCCCACCCCCAGATGTCACTTAAGCATCGCCGAGTACCCGACGTCTCTTACGTTCCTGTGAACAGTGAGGGATTTGGACTGGGTGAGATGGGGCGTGCCTGTCAGGCCCAGAGCTTGAGGTTAGGAGGACTGTGAGTTCGAGGCCAACCTCAGCTACATGGACACTTCCAAGCCAAAGTGAACAGCTGTGTCACACACACACACACAGGGTGGGGGAGAAGGGAAAAGTGTTTGCATTTTGTTGTCCTGGCACTGTGTATGCAGAGGGTGTGGGTGTGAGCTTGAATGTGGTCTCACCCACTTGGCTCTTGTGGTCAAGGCTAACGCTCTACCACTTGAGCCACACCTTCGCTTGGTGGCTTTTTGCTGGTTACTCGGAGAGAAGAGTCTCTTGGATTTTCCTGTCCCGGGCTGGCTTAGAACTGTGATCCTCACTCAGATCTTGAGTAGCTGGGATTCCTGGCATGAGCCACCAGCACTGGGCATAAAATTTTATTTCTTATATATGTTCCGGTAAAAAGCCAGTTTAAAGCCCGACACTAGTGGCTCCCACCTGTAGTCTTAGCTACTCAGACACTTATCTCCAATTAACCAACAGAAATAGGAAGTGGTACTGTGGCTCAAAGTGGTGGACGAAGTTGCCTTGAGTTAAAGAGCACCTGCCCGGAGTCCAAGTTCCACGACCAACAACAACCACAAAAGGCCAGTTTATTCCATTTAGCAATGAAAGAAAAGTAAACTTGGGCACACTTTTCAGACAAATAACCAACCTCCGCTTGCCCAAAGTCATGCAGAATTCAGTTTCCTCTATGTGGATTAGAAACGGTATTTGCTAAGGCCATTTTCTCACTAGTTTTCTAAAAGGAACAAAAGTCTGAATTCATATTCATATTCTTATCCCTCACATATACAGGGAAAGGAAAAATAACTATACTCCTAAAATTGTCTTTTTTTTTCTTAATCATGAATCTTTTTAATTTTCAAGAGTTTGGATGCCTAAGGAAGATCATTTGCAGACTGCTTTTGGAACACAAGAAAATGGATCCCAGCAGTGACTACCATTTCCTCAATCAGATTTTGTGGAGGAGAGTGAAACTCACGTTGGTGTCTGGAGTCTTCCAGGGTGTGCTCCAGCACGTGGATCCCAACAAGATGGTTGTCCTGAAGAAAGGTTTTGTTCTATTTGTCAGAAGAAGTTTTTAAGAAATTATTGACTTGGACATGGTGCTGGTGGCTCACACCTGTAATCCTTGCTACTCAGGAGACTAAGATCTGAGGATCACAGTTCAAAGCCAGCCTGCACAGGAAAGTCTGTGAGACTCTTATCTCCAATAAACCACCAGAAAATCAGAAGTGGCTTAAAAATCACTGTGGTTCAAGTGGTAGAGTGCTTGCCTTGAGCTGAAGAGCTCAGGGACAGCGCCCAGGCCCAGAGTTCAAGGCCCATGACCAAGAAAAAAAAGAAAAGAAATTACTGACTTGGAATCAGTAAGACATATATAGTAATAAGAGGACCCCCATCCAAAAAAAAAAGTCTAATAAGAACAGAGATTGGCATAAAAGTGAATCCCAACTGCTTTTCACCCACACTGCAAAACCCTGAGCTAGTTATCAAATTTTCTGAGCTCCAGATCCCTCTGGAATGGAGATAATGAAATGCCTGCCCCAGGGTGAGCGTTAAAAAAAAATTTTAAATGGGGGGTTGAACTCAAGGCACTGTCCCTGAGCTTTTTCACTCAAGGCTGGTTTGAGCCATAGCTCTCCTTCCAGCTTCTTGGTGGTTAATTGGGAATAAGACTTCACTGGACTTTCCTGCGCAGGCTGGCTTCATACTGAAATTCCCTGATCTCAGCCTCCTCAATACTAGGATTACAGCATGAGCCACCAGTGCCTGGCTTGACCCTGAACTTAATATGAACTATCATAGCGGCTTTAGAAGTAATTGCCTTTCCTAATTTTTTTTCTGTAGTTACATAGAGTATATGTAAATAGCAATATAATAAATAGTCCTCGGGCTCAAGGTCTTAGAATATTCTTGGGAGAATTTTTAATTCAGTAAACTGTTGGTGCTCGTTTTATTTGCTCTTAGAAGGACCTTTCTGAATTTTACTTTGCTCTTGATCATCTTTGCTTCCAAGCTGAAGCTTTGTGATTTTACTACTGACTCTTCCTTCCTTGAGGAAAGTCATCAGGTGTTTTGGTTTTGGTTGGTTGTATTTGGTGGTACTGGGGTTTGAATTCAGGGCCTTGCACTTGCCGGGCAGGCCCTTTTCCTACAGCTCCTTTGTATCTGTGCTGCTATCTATGCTTTACCATGTTGTGGAGGATGGATGACAGGTATATACCCCTGAGCCCAGACATAGTGCTTCTCCCTCCACCCCACCACCACACATAGCTGAGCTAACCAGCACATGCCATTAAGCCCAGACATTGGTGGAGATGCAATCTCTTCAACATTTTATGCCCAGGCTGGCCTCAAAACATGATCCTCTCATCTCTTCCTCCTGAGTAGCTAGAATTATAGACTTGAGCCATTTTCCTCCAGCAATTTGGAGATACAAAAAAACAAAATAAAACTCAGACTTCAGAAATTTGTCATCATATTCTCCTAACGTTTTAGGGATATACTACTTTTTTTTTTTTTTTTGTCGGTTGTGGGGCTTGAACTCTGGGTCTGGGTGCTGTCCCTCAGCTCAAGGCGAGCGCTCTACCACT